TAATTCGCTGTGATGAAGCTTCTTCCTGCCATTCGTAGTTTCCACCAGAGGTCGAGAGACCAGTGATGGCCCAATCCTTCCTTGGATGTCTGAGCGAATTAACTCGTTATAATCGGATAATCATTTAAATGTTCTGTTTATTAAAAGTGTTTTTATTTATTCTCACAGGTGGAAGAAACGACCAGGAGCCGAGGATTCGTTTACCCCACAATCTTTATTGACTGTTTTTGTTGTTGACAAAGAAATAAAGATCACTGTTGACTAAAGTTGATTTGTTTCTCTTTTTGTAAACATGTCTCATTAGGATTCTCCAAAAATAAAATGTACTGAAATTGTGAATTGTGTCTGTTGCTGCCAGTTTGTCATCCTCGTACGTGGTTTAATACATTTGTAAGTGTTCAATACAATATTTATAAAAGTGCCAGATGTAGACATAAACATTAGATAAAAGGTAAGAATATATCGTAAGGTTCATATAAGTACACATTCAGGTAGATGAGTTGCAGCTGTATAAGATGAATTCATTACAAAATATTTGCACAGCATTTGGAATATTATTATATAAGAGTACAGGAATACAAAATTACTTATCGATTAAAATACAAACTGAAGATCATTAAAACAATATATACATTCTCAGTAAGAAATACCTTTTCAGAGTATCTAAACATAATATACAGAATACTCTAATACCAATCTACTGTAAACATGTAAAGTAGCTTGAAAGTAAATTATATCCTATAATGTAATAAGTTAATGCTAAATTAATGTTTTAACAAAGTTTTACTGCTAAAATGTATGATTAATCCACCAAATATGTAAACGTGTAATTCAGTGATTTCGCGTTACGGGTGAATTTTGTCCCTCCTCGCTTCCCGCACCCCTTCCAGCTGTCAGGGAAGCTGCTGTTAGCAGAGCTAGCTGTTAGCAGGCTAGCTTTAACCGGGAAAGGTGAAGAAAAAGCAATAATGGCGGGCGTGCACCCGCAGGTAAGTGAACTCAGATTCACAACACAGCTTTTCAGACACTGTTTCCACTAAATGGTGATATTTATGTTTAAATTCGCTATAAAGGGAGCTAACGGGAGCTAACAGAGCTAGCTGTGGCTAACTAGCCGCCTAGCTTAAAACCAGCTGTAAACAAAGTGTCAGAAAACCATAACCGGAATTCTGATGTACTCTTTGTCCAATATTTTAATAATTTGACTCTTTTGTGACTTAAAAAGATAGTCCAGTGGTTTAATTGATAGACATACATTTAGTTAAAAGTAGCTACAGCTGTTTAAAGTAGCATTAAAATGGAAATACTCAAGTACAAGTACCTCAGAATTGTACTTAATATAGTACTTGAGTTACTTCCCACCCCTGAACACAATGGAGGCTTTACTTGATTAAATAATGATGTTGTATTAACGGTAATAACCTACTTTAAAGTGTCCAGAGACCCACTGCTGTTATTTCTGTCCTCACAGGACGACCTGCTGAAGATGACACACAGAGAGAACTGGAAGTGAGTTTCATTTCCTCTCACACACACACTTCACTTTCTCTATAAATACTGCAATGTATTCACAGCAGAGTGAACCCTGAAATGTTGAATACCCCAAATAAATGTGTAGTAGGAGGAGTCTCCAGCACATAGACACTGCAGGATGCTAACCGGCATATGTTGGGTCATTTGCACAATTAGCATAAGGTGTGTTAATTAATATGAATTGCATTATATCCTATGCCTTGTGACTGATGACGTGGCCAATTTGGAAATATATGGAGTGGTGTTGGAGGTTATTGAGGATGCTGAGTGCATTTCTGATCTTTTCAGGATCAAAAATTGCCATAGTTATACTCTTGGTGTACAAATAATAATACAAAAATAGGAAAGAAATAACAAATGTATGATTAATAATTACAATTCTAAATAAATGCTGCATTCTTTCCCCCATCCCTTTTTCTCTCTGACCAGTTTTTTTTGTTGTGCCTTTCTTTGTTTTCCCCTCCGTCAGGGTGCAGCACGAGCGTCTGCATGTGAAACATCGCGGCCACGAGGCCATGCACGCAGAGATGGTGATGATCCTCATCGCCACACTGGTGGTGGCTCAGATCGTCCTGGTGCAGTGGAAGCAGAGACACCATCGGTCCTACAACGTGAGGCCTTCATATATACATGACATACATTTAAAGAGTGTTCAGGTGTATATCAGTATGTAGTGTCTCTACTTTAAAGAGTCCTCTCCTGCTGATGTTCAGGTGTATATCAGTATGTAGTGTCTCTACTTTAAAGAGTCCTCTCCTGCTGATGTTCAGGTGTATATCAGTATGTAGTGTCTCTACTTTAAAGAGTCCTCTCCTGCTGATGTTCAGGTGTATATCAGTATGTAGTGTCTCTACTTTAAAGAGTCCTCTCCTGCTGATGTTCAGTTGTATATCAGTATGTAGTGTCTCTACTTTAAAGAGTCCTCTCCTGCTGATGTTCAGGTGTATATCAGTATGTAGTGTCTACTTTAAAGAGTCCTCTCCTGCTGATGTTCAGGTGTATATCAGTATGTAGTGTCTCTACTTTAAAGAGTCCTCTCCTGCTGATGTTCAGGTGTATATCAGTATGTAGTGTCTATACTTTAAAGAGTCCTCTCCTGCTGATGTTCAGGTGTATATCAGTATGTAGTGTCTCTACTTTAAAGAGTCCTCTCCTGCTGATGTTCAGTTGTATATCAGTATGTAGTGTCTCTACTTTAAAGAGTCCTCTCCTGCTGATGTTCAGGTGTATATCAGTATGTAGTGTCTACTTTAAAGAGTCCTCTCCTGCTGATGTTCAGGTGTATATCAGTATGTAGTGTCTATACTTTAAAGAGTCCTCTCCTGCTGATGTTCAGGTGTATATCAGTATGTAGTGTCTCTACTTTAAAGAGTCCTCTCCTGTAGATGTTCTGGTGCAAGGAGACCATGTGCATTCACAGAAACCTTTAGAACACACTACAGGAGAGGGAACAGCACAGCAAAAAGACTGATAGGTTATCTTTAAATTGAGTTGAGTAAGAACCCTGGCCTCACTGGTTCCTCCTCAGCTGGTGACACTGGTGCAGATGTGGGTGGTTCCTCTCTACTTCACCATCAAGCTGTACTGGTGGAGGTTCCTCTCCATGTGGGGGGTGTTCTCCGTCGTCACCAGCTACGTCGTTTTCAGAGCGACGCGAAAACCTCTTTCCTGCCGGACGCCCAGGTGAGCAAAACAATCACGTGTGTGTGTGTGTGTGTGTGTGTGTGTGTGTGTGTGTGTGTGTGTGTGTGTGTGTGTGTGTGTGTGTGTGTGTGTGTGTGTGTGTGTGTGTGTGTGTGTGTGTGTGTGTGTGTGTGTGTGTGTGTGTGTGTGTGTGTGTGTGTGTGTGTGTGTGTGTGTGTGTGTGTGTGTGTGTGTGTGTGTGTGTGTGTGTGTGTGTGTGTGTGTGTGTGTGTGTGTGTGTGTTCAAATCTAAAGGTGTGTGTGTGTGTGTTCCAGGATGGTGTATAAGTGGTTCCTGCTGATCTATAAACTGAGTTACGCGGTGGGAGTTCTCGGTTACCTCGCCATCATGTTCACCATGTTCGGCTTCAACGTCTTCTTCAGGTGAGGCCGCTGCACAGTATAACTTCTTTCATTCCCCTACATTTAAAATAAATAGTTTATAATAAGTAGTTTTTTCCCTCCTTGTTTTATTTATTCACAAATGATTTCTTCACTTGAAAAATAATCTGCTTCCGGATTTAGGGACATGCGTATGGATTTGTATTCTTCTTAATCTAAAATCCTTAAAATATAAAAATGGGGCTTTTACCATTTGATCCGAGCCCCAGACCTCCGGCTCATCAGTTAGCTGTAATAAAGACAGCGGGTATATAATATATATATAGTTATAATAACCAAGACCTCTGTGTGCAGGATCAAGGCGGAGGACTCCATGGACGTGGGAGTCATCATGCTGTTTTACGGACTTTATTACGGCGTCATGGGAAGAGACTTTGCAGAAATCTGCTCCGACTACATGGCCTCCACCATCGGGGTACGACTCTCTTTCATTAAATCATTTGGTTCTTAATGGAAACGATGTTTAATTAATGTCAATGTCCAAAAATCCACCTTAAATTCATATATTAAAGTGGACCTATCATGCAAAATACACTTGTTGATGTCTTTGATAGATAAAGATGTGTCCCCGGTGTGTCGGGGAACTCACGCAGCGTCAGAAAATAAAACCCTCTCTCTTTTCCTCCGGACCCAAATCTCTAAAAACGGAGCTGATCCAGATTTGCGTCCGATATGACGACATATCTGAAATGTGGACCCACGGCACTATCAGAAAGTTCTATCAGATTTTTGGAGATTTTGAGAAAAAGTCAGATTTTTTTTTAAAAGTACGAATGTTGAGATTTTGAGAAAAAGTCAGATATTTAAGATTTTGAGAAAAAGTCCAAATGTTTGAGATTTTCAGGAAAAAAAAAACATTTTGAGAAAAAACTCATGTATTACTCATGTATTTTGAACATGACAGGATGTATGATTACCTAGAAGAACCGGTATTCCTCCATCTTGTGACTGTGTAACTCCCTCTCTTGGATATCAGCATGTGAAGGACACTGTTCAGGAACTAGTTGATGCTCTGTATGTGATGACTCCTTCCATTCTGGAGAGGATCATAAATACATGGATCCTGAGATTGAAGCTCAAGCCACGAGTGATGTCTTTCTAACAGTTATATAAAACAGATTCTACACGTGTGTTTTCAGTACTACAACAGGGGAGGCATGCCGAGCCGAAGCCTGAGCGACGACATCTGTGCCGTCTGTGGTCAGAGGATCCTGGTGGAGGTGGAGGAGGAAGGGTTCATCGAGGACACGTTCCAGCTGTCCTGTGGACACATGTATCCTTCCTTTACTTAGTGACATCACTGTGGAACGCTCCTATTGGTTAGCGCTCCAACACATTGTACGTGATTTGAGTCATTCTGGGATAAATCTGTGGTGGAATGATATTTATTTTCAGTTCGTCCTCCTTAACCTGCGGCGATGCTTCAGATTTCACGAGTTCTGCATCCGCGGCTGGTGCATTGTGGGTAAAAAGCTGACGTGTCCGTACTGCAACGAGAAGGTGGACATGAAGAAGATGATGAGCAACCCGTATCCTTTATATACAGTATATATATATTATGTAGAAATGTGTATCCAATGCTATGGTTATTATTTATATGATTTTTGATATTGTTTTCATTTTTATTTTTTTAGCCCGGATTTTGTCTTTATTTAATGTCTAATCTGCTTTGAGGTTTAAATAAATATTTTTAAATATAATCACTTAAAAAGGACTCACTACGCTGACTAACTTCAGGGTTTTAGGACTCATTAGCCGCTTTCACACCAAGTACTTTGCCGTACTTAGTTCCCAGCACTTAGTACTCAGCACTTATTACCCCAGGGCTCTTAGTACAGATCTATAGATATATATATAGCTAATGCTAATGCTAATAATGCTAATGCCAGCAAATACAATGGCGGCTTTTTTAGAGTTTTATGGAGCGTGGTTTGCAATTCGCCCAGCCAATCGAAATTGGTACTTTTTTCTCCCCAGAATAGTCCCACCTCTCTAGCAGGCACTAAAAAAAAATGGAGGTAAAAGTTCTCGGAACTAAGTTCTCTTTTTGGTGTGAACGCAAAATTCCAGGCACTATCGGAACTAAACGGGAAAAGTACGGGTAAAAGTACTCCGGTGTGAACGCGCCTATTATGCTGACTTGTTTCAGGGTTTGAGGACTCTTCGATGCATTGTCTCTAGTCCCTCTCGTTTCCTCCTTAATTGCTCTGTTTCCTGTCAGCTGGGAGAAGACTCACGTCCTGTACGGGCAGCTTCTTGATTGGCTCAGATACCTTGTTGCCTGGCAGCCAATCATCATCGGCATCGTCCACGGGATAAACTTCACTCTGGGCCTCGAGTAGAGCCTCGCCAAAATGCAATAAGTGCTAAAAAAAAAAAAAGAAAAACTGTCACAGGAAACGATTCTTCTGCAGTCTCATTGTTATCTGAACTGAACGCTTGCACCGTTTCCTGCAGACGGACGACACTTTGATGCCAAAACTGCTGAAAATACGGCAGCACAGATCCAGTGTTTGCTTTTGGGGGGGGGGGGATATGTCGACGGAGATTTTTAATGTGATAAAAACCATCGCTTTACTTTGTACTGTTTCATCCAAAATGCCTTTTTAAACGTTAGTTTGTACACTAACAGATCACAGCGTTACAGAAAGGTCTCTCCTGAAGATAGACCCGTTTACATTTCATCTGTCTCTGTTTATTTTAAAATGTCTGTTTTTGTCTGTACGAAGCTGAGGCTAAACAGTCGACTTAGCATTTCGTTTTTTATCCCTTAAAATAAAAACTGACAAGACTGATTTTAAGTTAAAGCTGAATATTTTAGATATTTTTTCTTAAACCCAATTTGATCCACAATATTAAACTGAATTATAATTTTAAAGGGGCCCTATTCTGCCTGAAACGCCTCCATTTACTTCCAGAACACAGTGACATCACTATGGAACACTCACGCTCCTATCTACACATTGTTCGTGATAGGCTAAGGGGCGGGACTTCTCTAAGCGGTTGACCAATGACATGAAAATGAATAGGGCCCCTTTAACATCATTATTTATTGCCACGATTTGTTTACTTTTATCTTCAAATCTGTAGAATATGGACACAATTTTTTTATTTTAATAACATCGCACCTCGTCATATTGAGATGTCTATGGATCATCATTAATTGTGCAACCGTAATGTAAGACGACGCTCTTGTTTTGCTATAGTCTCGAGATGATGTGCCCTAAACATGGGGTCCTCCACATGTTCAGGATCAGGCGTTTGAATGACTTGAAATCACAAGAGTCTTTTTTCTTTTTGTTATCAGGAACACTGCTGCTGGTATTAATACTTTGTATTTATTAAATATTTGTAAAACCTCACCAGTGTGTCAGAACATGTTTTATTCTTTATGTTCAGTTTCCTTGGAGCAGTTTGATTGTTATTCATGAAAAATGTATTTAAATTAAATTAAATCCAGCTTTGTTTACATTCATGTTTAATACTGTTGCTTGTAGCCTGGACACAAACAAACTATAAAGCTATCGTTAAAATGCAATATTTATAGATCTCTCTCTCTCTCTCTCTCTCTGTGTGTGTGTGTGGCCTAGCATTACCATCCTTGCGGGGACCTACATCTGTTTACACAGTCACATGTGGGGACTCGCCCCCCTCATGGGGACATAATGGATGTCCCCATGAGGGGAATCATTAATTTTAGGGTGAAGACTTGGTTAGGGTTAGGGTTAGGGTTAGGCATGTGTTTGTTATGGTTAAGGTTAGGATAAGTCTCCAGGAAATGCATGTAAGTCAATGTAATGTCCCCTGAAGTGATGTATACGTGTGTGTGTGTGTGTGTGCGTGTGTGCCAACGTGGTTCCTTCTGTGGTCACTCTGGACTTGGCAAAGATGCTCCTTCACCTCCTACTTTGTTGCTTTCAGGTTCCCTATTATTTTGTTCAACGCAAATATTTCCCATATCTATCTATCTATCTCCTACCTACCGTTTTCTTCCCCATTTCCAAAAAAAAAGAGCTGAGATTTTCCATTGAACTTCATATTCATTGTATTAAGTATATGTTATGCTGTTAGAAATGGATGTTGGTCAAGCTCCCACACGTTATATAAATTAACTGCATTTTCAGAAAGCTATAGTCCCTTTCTCAACAATATATTTCAGTTCGTGGAAAAATATGGATAATAATGAAATTATGGCAAACTATTTGTACCATGTCCACCCTGTCATGGAAGGCTTGCTGACAGGGTGGACAATGGTACAAATAGTTTGCCATAATTTCATTATTATCCAAATACTTTTTCCATTAACTGAAATATATTGTTGAGAAAGGGACTAAATAGCTTTCTGAAAATGTACATTTTATATTATTCATGGACTTTGCTGACAGGGTGGACATTTTTGGCTAATATTAGCATTTAATGAGCACATGGTGGACCTTCAGTTAGCAACATGATTCAGTTAGCAAGGTGACTGTGTACTGTTTAACAAATATTATAAATAATAATAAATATTCAAATTTCTGAAAGGTTTTTATATTAATTGACATTTCACTATGACAGAGTGGAGATGTTATGTTAGCATCCAACTACACACATAATATGATTAAAATCACGAAATATAACTTAAAAAATTGACTCTGCATCTAGCCAATGTCTCAGCCTTCATTGAGGAAAGACAACATGGTGGTAGTAATGTCACGTGGGCACCACTTAACAGCCAATCAGAATGAGAATATGTTTCACATGTGACTTATTCAAAATGCGATCGATTGAGTGACAGATGAAGGTTGTTTAGGTGAAAATGTCGGTGAAGAAAATGTTTGAGAGTGGCGCTCGGAAAAGGAAATTGTTGAGGGAAAAGGAGTTTCGAGACAAGCAACTATTTAAAAAAAATGCCGAAGCTTACAGGTCATTTTAAACCTGTAGGCCAGGGTGAGGAGGAAGGACAGATGAGTTCTGTACAGAGCGGCAGCGGTGCCGGCCGCGGGGCCTCGCCTGTGCAGCCTGTGCAAGTTTAAATGTGTTGTGCACAAGCGGCAAACTGTGGGGCAGAGCCGGGACGCCAATACGGAAGTGCCACAAACTGCAGTTCATATATTGGCCGATAGGCGATGACTGCAGAAAGGAGCAATTTCCATAGACCCCCATGTTAAAATGCCCAATTTTACAGCAGAAAAAAACATGTTTCTAGCCCTGGATGCAATAAATATTATTATAGATATAGTTAGATTCCACCTTCATGATTATGAATCTGTGAGTGAATTGTTTTCTAACATGACCCTTTTATTTATATTAGGTCTTAAAGTGTTTGCATAAATTAGGGCGTGGTCACATTGAGTGACAGCTCTGTCAAGTGACTGCTGCTGTTAGCTTCTTGTCTCTCTGCTAGCTGCTCCGTCTCCGTGAAGCTACAGGGGACTCTCCATGCTCAGTTCATCCAGGGAACACAACTTGACCCCGGCCGTCTTTGTTTGTTCTTCATGCTTACTATTGCGGACTATTGTGACTCGCTCTGCGGTTAAAACAGACGGTGCATGAATGCCGTTTTGCGGTAAGTGAAATTTGAGTACTTATGTGTTTATGATTTCAATCAGCTACGTAATGAATGTTAAGGCTTGGGTTAGTGTGTAAGCGAGTGGTAGCTACATCTGTGCTAACGATGCTAATCGTAGCCTCTAAGTTAACTTAAAACCATAGACTGTATATATAAAGGTTAAAACGAAATAGACAAGTGTTAAGCGTTAAGTGGATAATAATGTAGAACAAACGGCTTCTGTTTGAGGTTGATAAAATAAGGTCATTCTTGTAACTTAGAGAGATATTTTATTATGTAGGTAGTAACTGTATGTATCGCTAAGGTTAATTTAAATTGGCTATGCTCAAGTATGTCAAACGTCAAAGTAGTGTATGTGATATCAACCTCACAATAAGATGTGTGTATATTACAATTATTAATGTCATATTTCAAGATGATTACTTAGATATTACAATATGGTTGGTTGAGCTGGAGTTCATTATTGAGCTTACACATTAACGTCACAGTCATCTGAAGAACGAACCCAAACCTTGTTGTTTTTATTAATTGCATTACCAAATTGGTATCAAATAAACAGTAAGCATTGGTAACTGTTGTAGCAAACACCTTGGATGGTGGCTTAAAGCCCACCTCCGCTACGCGCCGTTCGTTAGATGAGCCTGGTTAGATTTAATAAAAGAAGGAATTCAAAACACCGGAATAAAGGTTATAACAATAATCTGATTGTACTGGTAAAAAACAAAACACTTATACAAGTTTACAGAGTACTCTGGACTTCCAGTTCTACCGCCGTGCGATACAGGTATCGGGACCAGCCAGTCAGAAACAGGAAGCATTTTACATGCATAAACAACAGTATTCATATCCATATTTTGGGGCGGAGATGTGTTTACTCTTCCTTCCCCTTTTACTCCGAAGCGAATCAGAGAGTCCGTGGGGAGGAGCTGTGTGAGCTGCTCACTCCCCCAGGTGTTTTTACTGGTTGGATTCACTTCTGGTCGGGTCCAATACAGCGAATCAGAGTTCTGGGAAAAAGCATGTTTTCTTCTCAGCAGAGCGTGAGATTCGGAAGTTTCACAAGGACAGAGTCAATCTTATCTCTGCACCGATATTCACTCCTTTACTTTCCCAAGGAATATTTCACACAAACTATTCTTTCCCAGGCAACCAAACATTGTACACAGATATATTGATGCCCAGAAAGGACCTTGAAAAGAATATGTGTGTGTGCTGGTGGGAGGAGGTGTATGTGTGTGTAACAGGATCTCTGGGTCAGTGAGTTGTAAGTGAGAAGACAATATATATATATGGGATTACTTAAAACAGTTCAAACAATACATGTTCACTAAAATACAATTCAAAATAATACATGTTTACTTCAATACAGTTTAGAACCATATCTGTTTACTTTAATCCCTCTTTTGATCTCACCTCACGAGATCAACATATACACAGCATTTGAAACATAACCACTGTCATTCTTTTCTACTGTGTCTGTCCCCACATTTATATAAATCCATCAGAAGCTGGGATTGAGAGCACTTTAAACCTTTAGGAACAGTCCACCATAACAACTTCTTATGACAGTGGAGGGAGACCAAAATATGTTTAAAAAATGTTGTCATCGTACTCTTCCCCCTCCGACGCGTAAGCCAACAAGGGCATTTGGTACGAAGGGGAAGAGGCAGCTTTTCCCTCAATGGTGGAACTGATGAGTCTAACACACAATGAGCGGATACAAGGCACACAACAACAACCACATGTCACTAAAATGGCAATTAAAGTAGCCACAGAAATTAGAAGACTGTTGGGGTGAGGCAGACATATTTAGCGAGACCTGAGTATGATTTTTCAGAGTTGGAACATGGGGCGATTGCGCACAGACCTATGTCCACTATTCCGTCGCTACCTTCTTGGAGAGTGAAGGTTCTTTTTGGAGACATAAGGCTCGCTGCTCTAGTCCCTCTTTTGGTCCTTACTATCTCTTCCTCTGGGGCGGGAGTTGGAGAAAGAACATCATTAGTTTTACAGACAATGAAAATTATCGTTACCATAATGGTAAGTAGGAGGCCCAGGCCCGCTACTATTCTCCAGTGCCCGTACATAATTATGCTGTTTGCTCCAATTCTTCTGGTATCTTTAAACCGTATATTACCAATGGTCAATGCGATCGTACCTTGGTTCCCCAGAATACAAAACGTGCCCCCTGAGGGAGATTGAGACCCAGATATGCCAAAACCCTCTTGAGTATGAGGAGTATGTAAATAGACATCTACCCTCGTCCAGATGTTGAGTAATGATAAAAGGGCCTATTTGGAAAGTAAAACAGGAGTTACTCCCAACTTGGTTAGTGATTGATTTTAAGCTATAGGTTTTACATGGTAAACGCGGGTCCCCACATATATCAGTAGTCTTCCACCAACTGATCCAATTTAGCAGGGGTGAGGGAGCTACCCGGGTTTTACTACCTATCTCACGGAGGTCTTCTAAGCGCCTCTGAAAGGTACTCGTGTTGCTCGGAGTCTGAAGAGAGATTCCTGTGTCTGCCCCAAAAGAACCCTTCAACATTTCCTGGAACCTTTAACACATAGTTCTGTAGAATAAAAATAAACAAATCCCTTAAATTATGGGATAATAAAGCAAAGTCCAAAGTTCCTCAAAAAATGGATTGTTAAAACAAAGTTCCACACCGGCAATATCAACCTGTTTCAGCGGGAAGTGGAGTTCCCTGTGCCGTCTTGGTTTGCCGTGTCTTTGTCCCCCCAGCCCGCTGACGGCGGCTTCTGGGCTGCCTGCTAGAGAGATGTCTTCTGGATTCTCCTCCTCCGG